AACGTTCGTTATACACCTTTATTATGCGTTATATTCATTATACGCCTTCATTATACACCTTAGGCGCCAGGCAAAAACTTTCCTTTTTAACCAGGTCTTTGGTGATCTGATTGACATCCTATACCCTTCTGGGGGGAGAGTGTGTGTTATTGGGTTGTTGTTTTTATTTTGATTATATATATTGTGGTTTTTATGTTGATCTTTTATGTGAACCGCCCTGAGACTTCAAGGTATAGAGATGTACAGTGGTACCTCAGGTTAAGTACTTAATTCGTTCTGGAGGTCTGTACTTAGCCTGAAACTGTTCTTAACCTGAAGCATCACTTTAGCTAATGGGGCCTCCTGCTGCTGCCGTGCCAATGGAGCATGATTTCTGTTCTCATCCTGAAGCAAAGTTCTTAACCTGAAGCACTATTTCTGGGTTAGTGGAACCTGAAGCATATGTAACCTGAAGCGTATGTAACCCGAGGTACCACTGTATATAAATTCAGTAAATAATAATAATAATAATAATTCTAAGACTCGAGTCCTAACTACGAGTATCTGGGTGTAAGCATGATTGAATTTGTTGGCGTTTAATATGAAGCGGGCTTGCAAATCTGTGTTTAAAAATAATGTTTATATTACAGTATAATGAGGATGGGAAGGACTGTGTCGATGAACACTTTATTGTGTAAATAATGTTGTCTTGTCTTTTCTTTTCCTCTTTTGATTTTTTTTTTACTTTGTATATTTGTTATTTCTTTATATTTTTCCTTTTCCTCTTTTTCGTTCCTTTAGAAATTTCCTATTCTCTACATAATTTTTGTTTTCTTCATATGTAAAGAGATAGCATATAATGTTTGTATAGATAAGTACATTTTTAATCAATAAAGAATTAAAAAATTAAAAATGCAAAGCTCCATGCTGCAAATTCTGAAAGAGATTTAACTCTTCTTGAAAAAGCTGCAATGGTTTTCTTAACAGTGTTCTATTTGTTTTTTAAACACACACACACACACACAAAATTAACCCATGTTTGTTATTAACAAGAATGTAATACTATTGACTTATGGAAGGTTAATATGAAATTTACAGCTTGTTATACTTTAAAAGAAAACTTTATAGAGATGCAATTCCGATGGTACCTGACACCACTAAAATAATCTAAAATGTATAAGAATGTTTCAAGTAAATGTTGGAGGTGTGGGGAAGTGGAAGGCTCAACGCTACATATGTGGTGGACCTGTAAGAAACTAAATGAATATTGGGATGTTATTTATAATGAACTCAAAAGAAAGATTAAGGTATCTTTTGCAAAGAAACCGGAGGCTTTTCTTCTGGGGACATTAGGCCCAGATACACCTAAAGGCGTGAGAGAAATATTCTTGTACGCTATGGTAGCGGCAAGAATATTAATTGCCACGAATTGGAAGGGAGAGAAAATACCTTCCAAGCTGGAGTGGCAAAATAAACTGCTGGAATATGCCGAGTTGGCTAAATTAACAGAAAAACTGAGGGGTCGCTCTGATCAGACATTTATTAGGAAATGGGGTATGTATAGAACATATGTATAGAAATGGGACGCAGGTGGCACTGTGGGTTAAACCACAGAGCCTAGGGCTTGCTGATCAGAAGGTCAGCGGTTCGAATCCCCACGACAGGGTGAGCTCCCGTTGCTCAGTCCCTGCTCCTGCCAATCTAGCAGTTCGAAAGCACGTCAAAGTGCAAGTAGATAAATAGGTACCACTCTGGCGGGAAGGTAAACGGTGTTTCCGTGTGCTGCTCTGGTTCACCAGAAGCGGCTTAGTCATGCTGGCCACATGACCCGGAAGCTGTACGCCTGCTCCCTCGGCCAATAAAGCGAGATGAGCGCCGCAACCCCAGAGTCGGCTACGACTGGACCTAATGGTCAGGGGTCCCTTTACCTTTACCTATATGTATAGAAGATATTTAAAGGATTATTGTAATAACTTTACGTCTGTGGCAGCCTTTGAATGACTTCTGCAGTAGGATGGATAGGTATGAGGAAATACAATATTGGTGAAATATAACAAAAGGAAAATAGACACAAACAGTGCGCTTGATAGAATAAGTTGCAGATACATGTTGGGGTGACAGGAAGTTGTTAGGAATCCAAGAAGAGTGATGTGGAATATTAAGTTGTATTTTTCTCTCTCTCTCTTTTATGCAGAATTCTTCTGTATGCGTTTTTGTATTGATTTAAATTCAACAAAGCATATTAGAACAGTAAAAAGAAGAAGAACGTAATACTGAGACCCGGATTTGGATGTCAGATGGACTGGAGGGATACAGGCGAGAGATATGAGGAACGGGATTTACATTACAGTGGTACCTCTGGATGCGAATGGGATCCGTTCTGGAGCCCCGTTCGCATCCTGAGTAGAACATAACACACAACTGCGCCTGCACATGCACAGGTCGCATTTTGTCGCTTCCGTGCATGCGCATGATGTCATTCTAAGCGTCTGTGCAGGCGCGAGCGGCGAAACCCGGAAATAACACATTCCATTACTTCCGGGTCACCGTGGAGCACAACCTGAAAGCGCTCAACGTGAAGCATATTTAACCCAAGGTATGACTGTATCCCACCACTCACAAATGGGTGGTTGACCTGCATGTGACCGTGTAGACACACAGCGCCGGGAAATAATTAAATTCATACCCGGAAATGAAGAGAGCAAGCTGGAGAGTCCTCGTGCCTCACGAGGAGACCCTTCCCAGAGCCCAAAGAGCATGTCTGTGAGGGAAGAGGAAGCCCTGAAGAGACCTGAGGTGCAGTGGGGCTTTGTTTAGGCTGCTCAGCCTCCCCGCCTAACAGCTGATGTGCAAGGTAGCGCAGCAGCAGCAGCTGCTTTCCCATGGGTCCTGCAGCCTCCTGCCAGACCCAGAGCCTTAATTCTAGTTGGGGATATTTTTGGATACAGTGGGGTTTTTTTGGTATGGACTGAAGAGAGTGCAGTAGAGAGGACATTTAAAGGGTATTTAGAGCAGGCATAGGCAAACTCGGCCTTCCAGATGTTTGGGGACTACAACTCCCATCATCCCTGACCACTGGTCCTGTTAGCTAGGGATGGTGGGAGTTGTAGTCCCAAAACATCTGGAGGGCCGAGTTTGCCTATGCCTGGTTTAGAGAAGATGAAGAAGAAGAAGAAGAAGAAGAAGAAGAAGAAGAGGAAGAGGAGTCTGGATTTGACATCCCACTTTATCACTACCCGAAGGAGTCTCAAAGTGGCTAACATTCTACTTTCCCTTCCTCTCCCACAACAAGCACTCTGTGAGGAGAGTGAGGCTGAGAGACTTCAGAGAAGTGTGACTGGCCCAAGGTCACCCTGCAGCTGCATGTGGAGGAGCGGGGAAGCGAACCCGGTTCACCAGATTACGAGTCCACCGCTCTTAACCACTACACCACACTGGCTCTCCACTTCAGTGCTCACCACTTCACAAGATTTCACTTATGCACATAGGGGCCCAGAACATAACTCCCACTTAAGTGGAGTGTCACCTGTACTCATTCAGGAGGGTGAACTGGGAGGAAGAACTACTGAGAGATCTGGAACAACTTGGAAGAAAATAGCAGAGGGGGTGTACGCTACAGGTCTCCGATTTCTTCCCTTTGACTTCCAGTTTTCCTTCATGAAAACGATACCGTTGTTCTTGATGTTGTTAAAAAGTGTGGCTCTTACTGTAACAACTTAATGGTGAGTACCGGCCCCTATTTTCCTAGGAAAAAAGCACTGCATAGAACCCAGTTCTGCTGCTGAAGGTATGAAAATGACACACACATATACACCCAGTCTATTGAGAGGGGAACAGAGAATTTACATAAACAAAACAGAAGGGGAAGGAGCTACACAATTAGGGAGACAATTAACAGAATGATTGTATTTTGCAGAACAACACTATTTTTTTAAGGACGGTAGAAGCCTGGTGATACAAGCAAGTATACAACAATCTTTTAATTCCAAACAGAAGCTTAACACTCACACTGAGAACAGAAAGAGGTAAAATGGGGAATGTAGGGTTGCAGTCAACTAACTCTTTCTTAGAGTAGACCCATTGAAATGAATGGACCTATGTCATTCATTTCAAAGGGTCTACTCTGAGTGGGACTAGAATCCTTTAGTTCAAAGGAAAGGGTGAATACAATAAAATACATAGGAAAAACAGGGTACTTAAACCAACTCAGAGTAGGCCCAGAGATGGGCATGACTAAGTTGGGTCCATTAATTTCAACAGGTGGTGTCCAATATTAGCCCTACCCAGTGTAGATCCGCAGATATTAATGAACGCAACTAACTTAGGACCATTATTTTCAATAGGTCTCTTCTGCGTGGTTGAATACAACCCAAAGCTATTAGTTCTCTTTTCAGTCAGTCCGTGGATTTCAACATGTCTGCTCTGAGTAGGACTGATGATGGGAGGATAATAAATTAGATGAATAGCATTAAAATTGATTGCGTCAACTGACCCAGCCCAGTCTCGGAAAACTATTAACATTATTAATTTAATAAAATATCTGCAGATCACCATAAGGGCAAAGGGCAGGTTGCAACAATCTAAGTCAGAAGCTGCCCAGGGTGGCTGGGGTGAACCCAGTCTGATGGGCGGGGTACAAATATATTATTATTATTATTATTAGCATTGAAACTACTTAGAAATGGCTTATTGAAACTCCTTATGGGTCTGCTCTGAGTAAGTATAACCTTGGAGGCAACTCCAACTTCAAAAGCAGCTCAAAACAAATTAGTCACTAGAACAGGGTGGATCCTAAAATCAAATAAAAATGGATCAAAACACATACGCCACTGTCAAAAATGAAACTTTTGCTATGAACAGTGAAATCTGTCTGCAGAATAAGGAGTCACGCTGAGTCACTGGCTGAGATCCCCATGCTTTGGGTGGGAAGGCAAGCAAGCCGTCCGTCCACCGCCACTGATGTGTGCCCGGCTCCTCAGTGCGTGAAAGTCAAATGAGTTTCTCCCACATCCCTGTCATCTTCAGAAAGGCCACTTGGTGGCTGAACAGTACTTCTTCCCAGTGCTTGCGATCTTGACGTTTTTGGGAAGCTTCTTTGAGGCCGCCAGGTTTGTGGCGTTACGGGCCAGACTGGGCTGGGAGCCTTTAGTCAAAGAGACCCTGGAGCCCTTTGCCAGGGACGGCCGCGAGCCCTTGACCAAGCTTGGCTGAGAGCCTCTCGTCAGGTTGGGCCGTGAAGCCCTCTTCAGGAAGTATCGCGAGGCCCTCAGTGCGCTGAACCGCGGGACCTTCGTCACAACGAGACGAGGCCCCTTGGTGGCACGTGGAAGAGTGCCCTTTGCCGGGTGTGGCTGGGTGCCCTTTGTCCCATTTGCTTGTGAGGCGTTGCCTAGGCCTGGTTGTGGGTCTTCAGTTGCATAGAATACAGGGCCTTTTGTCATCCGTGGTAGTGGCCCCTTCGCCACACGGGGTGGTGGGTCATGAATATGTGGCAATAGGTCCTTGCTTGAGTACAGCACAGGGCCTTTGGTCATACGTGGTAGCGGGGCCTTGTTTAAGCACGGTTGAGAGACATTGGTGGGATAAATCACCGGACCTTTGGTCACACGGGGTAGAGGGGCGCCAGTGACACATGGCAGCGAGCCCTTGTTGATGGGGCCATGTCGGCCTTTGGTCATGCCACTGTATGGACATTGGGTCGGCAAAGGTTTCTGATAGATAGCTGTGTGTGGCAGTGTCGGGTTCTTGTTTAGCTTGGAGTACCTGGCTGTATGTGGGTCTGGGTAGACCGTCGCACCTCGTGGTTGATAACCGGTCACACCGGGCGGACAGTAGAGCTGAGCGCATGGAGTTTTCCCACGCGGTGGAAGGGTTTTGTATGCAGGGTATCTTGACCCATAGAACGGGTAGTATTGTGAGCCAGACCGGGGCAGCCTTTTCGAGACAAAGGGTGGCAACGGCCGACCAGACGTGTATCCATAATACGGCACCTTTTGGCTGGCCCGGCGATACCTGCAAGAAGGAATTGAGAAGGTCATCTCCTCAAAGAACATCAAAAGAGGCCTGGAGCTGAATCAGGACAAAGGCCCACCTAGATCAACATCCTATCTTCACAGTGATCAACCAGATGTCCCAATGGAAAACCCACCAGAAGAGAGTGCAACAGCAAGTCTCCCCCACTTGCAAAGCCATCTTTCCAATTGGGCTTACTGGTGTGTTGCGCCAGGGCGCTGGCCTCTCAGGGGTGCCCCAGCGAGTGGGGGAGCTGCACGGCTTTGCTGGCTGCCTCCCCTTTCCCTGCACGCCCGCCAGCTGTGCCCTATCAACCATATGGCTGGCAGATGTGCAGCTTCCTTCCCAAGACTCCACGGGAGGAGAGCAATCCCCGCAGAGGCTTGGGAAAAGGTCAACAACTCTGGGAAACGGGGGGTGGGGCGCCAGAGGGATCTTTGAACCACAGCACCAGATACGCTTAAGACGGCCCTGCCCACATGTGATTCCCTACCACTGGTACCACTCTAGTAGCAGAGGTAAAACATGCAAAGGAATGGCTGTTCTTTCATCATTCTTGATTGTTATTTCCCCAGCAACTCAGGACCGGCGGTCCCATGCAACATAGTTTTTCACAACAAAACATCCCCATCACTTCTCAGTTGTGCTCCCCGCCAACTGCAATTCAGAGACATGCTGACTCTGACAGAGAAGGAAGAACATGATATGTCTAATCCTCTTTTAAAGCCGTTCAAGTTGCCATCTACGTATCTGTCCCCATCATTTATTGGTTTCGACAGTCACTACCCCGCAATGAAGTGTTACATGTAGAGATGGGTGTATCAGTGCCCAACAGTGTCACATTTGCTGACGTTCACCCATAAGTTGGCACTGTCCTGTTTACTCAACAACCTGAAATTTCTTCCTATAGACATAAAAACACAAGGCTGTTGTCATGCCGCATGCTTTACCTTTGCCTAAGTTGAGAAAAAGGATTTTCTCTCCCGAATTCTGAGTGAAATGTTAGATACTGTATGTGGTGTTAAAAATTTAAATCATCACAAATCTTGAATGGCAAAAAAGAAAAGAAAAGAAAAGAAAAGAAGAGAAGAGAAGAGAAAAGGGAGGGGAGGGGAGGGGAGGGGAGGGAAGGGAAGGGAAGGGAAGGGAAGGGAAGGGAAGGGAAGGGAAGGGAAAGCTGAGCAGGATTTGGAGAGCTTGGCTTTCTCTCGAGCTCATCCATTTGTCTTTCAAAGCCACACCTGCTTACCGATGAGAGAAGTTCAGTGGAAGACCTGGAGCAGCATCCTCCATGTGCACCAAATCAGGAGCAGAGACAAAGTCACTGGGAGTTACTGGGAAGACGTTACGTAGCAACCTGAAATTATAAAGGGGTGAGTGGATAGAGGAATTTCATAATTTCACATCGTTTTTCAGTGTTATCCAAGTTCCTCTCTGCTTTCCCCCTTTCATAACTAAATCTCGCATTTATTGACTGCTTCATTTATTTATTAGAGTATATCTATCTACACACATCACACAAACCACCATTATTATTGTTGTTGTTGTTGTTGTTAATAATAATAATAATAATAATATACCGCCCTATACCCAGGGGTCTCAGGGTGGTTCACAGAATAAAATCAAGATATAAAACCACAAAATACCTAATAAATACAAAAACAACCCAATAGCCCCCCCCCCCCGAAACCACCACATTTTAAAAGGGCATAGGATGCAAATCATTTCAACCAAAGGCCTGGTTAAAAAGGAACATTTTTGACTGGCGCCTAAAGGTGTATAATGAAAGCGCCAGGTGAAATATATTGTTATTTCATAAAAAATATATGTTATGGACGTGTGCAATAAAGTCATTAACACATGAAATGATAACTTCCTAAAACGGAGAATAAATCAAATTAATTCTGTAAAAATGCTTGGTGAGAGAGAAATGAAACCAAAAAGTGAAAATGTTCCGGATGGCCTGCAAGCGCCATCTAGGTAGTCAAGATAACTCCAGGACTAGTTTCTGCAAGAATGACCTCATAGATGTTTCTTGTTTTGATCTATGCTAATCGGTTTCCTTCGATGCTCTTTTTGCCTGTGGGCTTGGGACGCATAGCTAATTGGGACAGGGGAGGTTTCTTACACCGACTGCTTGTCAACTCCTCCCTTATCTTAGAGATGGATGAGAATTGGGGAGGGGACCTCTAAGCCAGCGCTGAGTTAATGGCACTACTGGTGACAGCTTACGTAGCTACCTTTGTGTATAGTAGGCAAACTAAGTCCCGAGGGCCGAATCCGGCCCAATCGTCTTCTAAAACTAAATCACTCTCTTTCCTTTAGCTGCCAAGCCAGTAATTTGCCTGACTTGTTAGCCAACTCAAAATTTCTCTGTCTCGTTAATCTTGATTTCCACTCCATTTCGTCATTTATTATCATAGAATATTGCGATTGTAGTATTTTAATATTTCTTTTTATTTCCATGTTATCTGGCTTCTTATATAATTCTATTTCATTCTTCCTAATCTCTTCTACCACTTCTTGCGCCTTCTTTCCTTTCTGTTTTCTTTGAATTGAGTTTTGCTGTATTAAAAATCCTCTAAGAACAGCTTTGCTGGCATCCCAAATGATTTTTAAGTCAGTATCTTTATTTAAATTGAAATTGAAGAATCAGTGTGTTTTTACACGAGTAGAATGTGTCCTTTTAGTTAAAATGCATCTCTGGGTTATTTCTGGGGCACCCACCCCCCCAAAAAATATAGTCCGGCCCCCCACAAGGTCTGAGGGACAGTGGACCGGCCCCCTGCTGAAAAAGTTTGCTGAACCCTGGCTTAACACATTGGTACCCTGTGGACAAATCTCTCACTGCTTTGGTGTCCAACCCAAGCCTGTAACAGCAGTGGGGCTTTCATGCTGTGTTGCAAATTTATCTTTTCTTCTACTAAAGCACTTGACCCTTCTAATTCTGATAGAAACCGTGTTCCAAATTATGTTTATTTGTTTGTTTACAAGCTATAAACGGATTTTTCTCAAAAAAAAGGGAGGTGGTAATGTTGGAAAAATGCCCTCGGGAAGGGTATCAGGGCATGATACAAATAAATGTTTAAATTACCCAAAAAGGCACATTACAACAACAATACAATAATAAAGTGATGAACTAATAATAGTAATAATTGTAAATAATAATAATAATAATAATAATAATAATAATAATAATACCACCAAACAATAAAATTCAAGAGGAAGAAAATCATCCCACCAGCTAATAATAGCATAATCTGTCATCTGTGCTCTGGTAACCTCCTGGTTAGATTATGGCAACATGTTATACATTGGGGCTTCCTCCGAAGATGGTTCAGAAACTTCAGCTGGTGCAGAATTTAATGACCATGACTAACTTAAGTAAATTGATTTCAGTAGGTCTACCCTGAGTAGGAATCAGTTGGATATAATCCAATGACCACCCTTCTGTCCCTCCCCCACATACTAGAAAATGAGGTCAGAGAAGGGTATTTGAGACCCATCCTCGAAGGTTTACACCAGGGACAAAATCCTTGGGGGGAAAACATCACTACTAGTCTCATCAAATCTCTTTTAGGCTTCTTAGAAATCCCTCAGATGTTTTCTTCCAAGGAAGGATGTCGAATAGTATTTTGGATGCCACCTTAGGCGCAGTTGACAAACAACATAAAATTGTGCAAGAGTCAGGCACACACCCTTGCAAGATTTTGAGAGGCTTATAACAATGATTTGAGCTCCAGACCTTCTGTCTCACTGATATATTGCCTAAGAGACATCCAAAATTGCTTCCGATTTCATTCTCCACGTCCTGGGAGAAAAAGCAGGCAAAGACCCTCTTTTGTATTCCACCTTGAAAACTCTGCTAGTTTCCACAATGCACACACCACCTCACACGCTTCTTTGGAATCGTTCAGATCTTTTCTCCCAGAGCCAAGGATACAACCAAATTCACAACATGTGACATTTCACACAAATAGCAAAATTCCATCAAATGCTCCAGTTTGAACAAATATACCAGGATGAGAGTCTCATGATGAGGCAGACTATTAGACCTTCAGGTGTCCTGGTCCCATTTAGAGTTTGTCTCGAAGCAATATCCAGAAATTCAGTAGCAGAGAGTGCACAGAGGGGGAAAGCAGTTCCTAACTTACCTGACTTCCAGACGCAAACGAGTCTGGACAGAAGTGTCAGCAAAGGCTGGGGATGAGGAGAGCTTTTTATGTGGTTTTAAAAACCCCCCTGAGGGACGTGAGGCACTTCTGCTGGGGCGACGTCACTGGCAACCTGCAAATCGTGATCCGGGCTAATATGCTAAGCTTCCAAATGAAGGCTGTTTCTTCCTCCTCCTAAAACATTAAATTAAATTGCAAAGACGTCCACTGGAAGTTCTACTGCTTGCAAGCAGGGCTGTGCCTCATGCAAAATACATGCCACCGATCAGCAACAGCTACTTGTACTTGCTGATCCGAATTCATGGGATTATCGAGTTGGAAGGTACTTCAGATGATGTCATCTAGTCAGCCCTGCAAACTTTGGAGGGGCTACACAGCAGAAGGCAACTTTCTGCTTAAATGTCTTCAGGAACGGAGATCCCACCAGACTGAGCCAGTCTTTTCCACCGTCTGGAAGCTCTTATTACCTCAGCATCCTGTTCTCACAGTGGCCAACCCTTGATAAAGAAGGACATTTTCGCTGGCCAGGTTTAATTCAAACCTCCTTTGGGGAAGGTTCTCCGGCAGGGTGGAAAGAGAAAGAACTTGCCCAAGTGAAGACCACCTGGTGGAAACCCTCACACATATGATTCTTAATTATAAACTATATGCTGATCTCCGTCAGCAATTTCTAGATCAACTCTGTATCCCCAAATGGAAACCAGAGTTGGAGGTCATACATTTTCTATTACTGGGGAATGATCAGGAGCTTACCACGTTAGTGGCTAAATATTGGAGATGTTTCAGCTTCCCTCCATTTCTTGTTTTCCACTTAAGATATCCAAATTTTCACAAGAGTTTGTTTTGTTTGT